GGCAGTTTAATGGGTGTCCACTCTCACTCACCGCTTCCTTGATTGGTGGAGGGTCGTTAGCCGAACGGGTAGTATAGGGCATTTAATTCCTCATTATAAGTATAATGATTATATAAAGTAACTAAATGTTTTTACAAAATTCCCAATCTTAGTTACTTTAAGAAAATGTGAAATTGTATGCTATTTCATGAAATTGCACTTTGCACCTTGCCAAGTCGTTAGTGGAGCGTGCGTGGCTAACCGACATACTAACTTGGGACTAGCTTGGGAGGCAAAGGGTGGCTCGATGTTTGTCATAGACTAATGGAGTGTGTGTGGTTAACCCGCACATTGTTTACGTGATAAATAACATCGAGAGCACCAAGTACATTTGCATGGTTATTCACACCTTGTTTGTGATCCTCGGTATCCCAGCCACAAACGTAAAGAGCATAATCGAGATTTAAACATGCCATTGAAAAGTTCAATGAATCTCAAAAGAATCTAGGAATTTCAATACATTTAAAACTTAAAGTCTTTTTCGTTTTTCATGGTGGAAATTGGTGAATCGTCATTCACCTACCTTCAAATTATTTACAATTAGATTACGACATCCCTTTTCTAGATTGTGAATAATTTTGTTGGATCCTAGCCTTAATTTTTCATTTTGGGTGTTTAATTGGGGATTTTTGTATCTAATCAAAACTTTTCTCTTTTTCAGATATCTACTCAAAACAACGCTTCTGGCTCCTTCTCCCTAATGGACCTATGTGGGAGAGTGATCTTCAATGGGAACAATTTTAACGATTGGATCCGGAACATAATGATGGTCACAAGATACAAGGACAAAGAGTATGTTCTCGATAAGGCGCTCAAGGAGGTTGACCTTAACACTGCTACTCTAGAGGAGATTGCTACCTATGAGGTACATGAGAGAGATGCAATGAAAGTACATTGCATCATGCTCGCAACCATGACTCCAGAACTCCAGAAGTCCTATGAGGACTTCTGTCCCTATGAGATGCACCAGGACTTGATGGAGAGGTACCATCAAAGTTCAAGGCAAGAAGGTATGAGATCATCGTCTCGATGATCACTACCAAGATGAAGGATGGAGAGTCCATCACGGCCCACCTGCAACAGATGCATAGGTATGTGGACCGCTTGCTGAAGTTAAATGGTAACTTCAATGAGGAGTTGGGGATTGATATCATTCTCCACTCCTTACCTCCTTGCTACAACCAATTTCGTATGACTTATCATATGAATAAGGAGGAGGTTACTTTGAGCAAGCTTCAAGGTCTCTTGCGTACTGCTGAGAGCAATCTCAAAGATAAATCTGTTGCATCAACTCCTACTGCTGCTGCCCCTGTCCTGGCTATTGAGCAAGGCAAAGGAAAAAAAGAGGAAGGCTCCTCACAAGAGCTTCAAGGGCAATCCCCATGATGGATCCTCTTCTAGTGGGACCGAAGCTGGTCATGCCACTCCCTCGACCGATCCCAAAGAAGCAGAGTGCTTCTATTGCCACGAGAAAGGGCACTAGAAACGAAGCTGCCCGAAATACTTGCAGGATATCAGGGATGGGAAAGTGAAGCCCAACCATGTAGGTATTTATACTATTCAATCTAACAACTCATCGCATGCTATTTCTTGGGTTCTTGATACAGGGTGTGGTTTTCACATTTGTTCTGATTTGCAGGGCCTAAAAAGAAGTAGGGATGTGGAGCATGGAACGATGAACTTGATCATGAGGAACAGAAGAAAGACGGTTGTGACCAAGATTGGGACTTATTCTTTAGTGCTTAGTAGTGGGTTAGGGTTAGAATTGAACAATTGTTGCTACTCTTTTGAGATGGTGAGAAACATTATTTCTTTTCATGGTTTATATAAACAAGGTTTTAGATTTTCATTCAATAATGAAATTGGTTCTATTTATGCTTATTTGAATGGTATTTTCTATTTTGAAGCATTGCCTTGTAATGGAATATATGAAACTATGATGGTTGTTGATAACTTAGGAAATAATTATTGCAAATCGATTCGTCCAATAGTTTGGACAAATCATGCTTGTGGCATTGTCGTCTTCGACATGTCAACAAGAAGCGCATAGCCCAACTCCAAAAGGATGGAGTGTTGGAGTCGTTTGACCTAAAATCAGATGACACGTTCGAGTCTTGTTTGCTTGGAAAGATGACCAAGTCACCCTTCACTGGTACTTGTGAGGGAGGTGAGGGTTTGTTAGATCTCATACATACTGATGTATGTGGGACTTTCAGATCCACCACAAGGGATGCTTGCCGCTTCTATGTGACTTTTACTGATGATTATAGCAGATATGGGTATATCTACTTAAGGAAGCATAAGTCAGAAACCTTTGAAAAGTTCAAAGAGTTTAAACATGAAGTGGAGAATCAGCTGGGCAGGAAGATAAAGATGCTACGATCCGATCAGGGAGGAGAGTATCTTAGTATCGAGTTCCACGAGTATCTAAAGGAATGTAGAATAGTTTCACAATTGACGCCACCTAGGACACCACAACTTAATGGTGTGGCTGAGAGGCGCAATCGGACCTTGTTGGGCATGGTTCGTTCCATGATGAGTCGTGCTTCGCTACCTATCTCATTCTGGGGGTATGCCTTCGAGACTGCTGCCCATATCCTTAACTTAGTCCCTACAAAGAAGGTTGCCAAAACACCTCACGAGATGTGGACAGGGAAAGCTCCCTCATTGGCACATGTCAAGGTTTGGGGTTGCGAGGCTTTCGTTAGATGAGAGACTCAGGACAAGCTCGAACCTCGTAGTGAGCGGTGTATTTTCATCGGCCACTACTAGAAAAACAACCTTTTACGACGCGCAATGTGTGTCGTAAAATGCTCAGACGACGCACAAATGCGTGTCAAGGAAGGCCCTGTCATAACGAGAGACGACACGCTTTTGCACGTCGTCTATAGATGACATGCATTTACGATGCGCATTTATGACACGCAATGCGTATCATTAAAACCCCTGTCAAGAAAGTCCATGTCATAAATGAAGATGACACACATTTTTGCGTATCGTAAAATTAAATGTTTAAAAAACATATTTATATATTTACTAATTTTCAAATTAGATTTGCATTTAATGTCTCATAATAGAAAATAAAACACTATATACAAAAAATACAATCCATTGCACAAAATTTAATGTCATACAAATAATCGTTCCAATAATAGACAAATCTAATACATCAAATGTGAAAGAGATGAAAGTCGTCAACAAATACTAGTCGAACTACAAGAACTTGTTGCCGACCTTCACAACAACTTTACTTGACACTAAACACATCAACAAGACCTGCAAATTTGAATAATGCAACCATTAGATTCACATAAACCAACGAATCCCAATAAATTTATTGGGATTTTGTAAAGAGCAACTAAAACCAACTTTTAACTTTCAACTAAAACAACGTAAAAGATGAGGGAGGAGAATGCTTACTTGTAAGAGCAACTAAAACAAATTTTAACCAGAAATATCCATGTTTTGATATTGCATCTTTCAATTTTAAGAAGCAACCCGAAAATAACCGAGCAAAAAAAGATAAGTTTAAAGAACTTTAATACATTGTAATGCCTTGGAAATCTATAACCAAACCCATAATTTTAATCATAAGTTAGTAATATAATGTAATATGATATGAATATTATTGAAGATTAAAAAAAATTAACCTGGTACCAGAAAACTCCTGTCTTCAACTAACATCTTAGACTATGATATGACAATAAATGGCAGTGAAATGAAAGAATGAAAGTAGCTGGACTTTTCTGCTTACCAGAATACCCCTGTCTTCAACTAACTTGTCATTAATGTCATAAAGTTTAGCAACACATATAACTGCTATCTTTCTAACATAAGGATCATAATCCTGATAAAAGGGAGTAGAAAGTTAAATCATTTTATAGTAGTTTGTCTACTTAATATATAAAGACTCCAGCAATAAACAAATATGTTATGTTACCTTGAGACACCTTTGAAGGGGATCCAAAAGATAATCGGTAATCTTATCAACTTGGATAAATCCCATTATTCTAACAGCTAAAGCAAGGATCAAAGGAATTAGGTCACACATGATGATTGTTACTTAAATTTCCTCATGTACATGTAAGTAAATATGAGAGATTTCAAGTGTAAACCTGTGCATAAAAGACTTTTCTGCCTCACTTTCCAGTGATGCTATTTTGTCCAACAAGTCCTTGGCTGTACCCTCCCCATCACCAGCATCCTCACGTCTGTGTCTGCTAGCTAGTAATCAAAATATGGATAATAAATACAACATTCATTGTAATTTTTAACCCAAAAATCCAAGATCTAAAAAGAGCACTTCACATTCATGAGCATCCAAGCGTTCGACTTCAGCCATGGTTGCCACATGAGGACCAAGTTTTGCAATGCCTTCCTCTGTCAAAGAGACTCAAAGAGACTGGATGGTTGTTTTTTCAACTGGTGATGGGGCATTGGAAGCAACTCCTGCGGTAAGACATTGATGACACAATTATTTTAAAAAATTTCACAAATTTGATTAAACTAATATTCATAAAACTAACAAGAAAATATATGTTCTTATTATAGTCTTATATGGGTTATTAAGAGCTTTTTATTCTTCAACAGTGTAGAGTAGAGTTAAAATATATATATTTTTTTCAGCTACATTGTATTATGTTATAAATTTATAATCATAACATTATTTTTGTTGCATATTTAGATGGGGATAGGTGATGCTATTGTGGATGTCTTAACCCACTAAGATATGATTTATGCATACAGTTTACAAAAAAAAAAAAAAAAAAAAAAAAAAAAAAAAAAAAAAAAAAA